TCAAAAATCCCCAAGAAGACCATTCTCTCCTTGCAAAAGATGAGTGAATATGTTGAAAAAAAAAAACAGAAAACCACATTCGGCTTCTGCGTTGGTAGGGACAGAAACGCAAATCTCCCGCCAAACCTGTGAACGAAAAAATCACAAACCATCAGCCGACAAGGGCAGGTAGTAACATACTGGAACGGCGACCGCAAACTCCGCTGTACTAAAAAGGCACATTCTGCCGACGTCTCGACGGCATGACTAATGCGAACATCATGCACTATTAAAAAGAAGCTAGTAGTATTTACTTGGTAAGATATAGTAACCGCTTCTCACATATGCTACTCTCCACCTAGTAACCTAGCTTGACCGTTACTAGCTTGACCGTAGTGACGGTCAATCTAGTAACGGTTACTGGGTCAAGAAGCTAGTAGCTGTTACTAACATCAAACTAGAACCCACGTATTTTACTACCTCTACCTAGTAACTAGCGCTACCTCCCGACGGAAGACCGGAAACGCAACTAGTCATGTGATTTCCGGTGGGAAAAAAGTGTGGGGTTATGCCACTTACCTACCACCAGGTGGCAGGCGCAGCTAAAGGTCAAAACTGGAAAGGAGTAATCCAGGTGGCGCTAGTCATCATCCAAGTAAACCTACACAAAAAATGAAGGCGGTCATTTTCAGCTTATTTCAATTCTTCCAAATTTGCAAGTAGGTGCATATATACATGCACACCCACATTTTCAGCACACAATCAACACAATGCATCCAACACAAACACACGCATGCTTAATCACTCTAATCGCTAACTTCCGAGCGGGGGCAATGGGGATCGAACTCCAGAGGTTCCCAGCGCAAGCTTTCGAGCTGAGACGCATTATCACACTCGGCCACTTCCTCCCCGCTAGCTTCCTCGACTGCCCTTCAGTCTTTTATACTGACAATTTGAGTGCGCAAACTTGTCGTCGTGTATCAGCACGTCAGTTCTTCGCGGTCGCTAGGTCAGTTGCGCGACGGTGCAAACCGCATGAAAGCGACGGGAACAACCGGCCAAGGCGATGTGATATGTTTCCTAGCAATTAAAAAACCGAGCGACGCGACTGGTGACCGTGAGAAATCGCCGTCACTCGTCGCTGTCTTCGTCCCTCGTCTCGTCGCTCGCTAAATCGATTGCATGGGGTTCAACTTTTAAAGCAAATGCGGTCGCCGTCGGCGAGAGACCGCTTTCTCGCCGTCTCCCGCGGCGAACGAAGGCTGTAACTGACGGGGAGTACCACGGCAGCTGCACTCCTTTCGCGTGCTGCGCTAGAAAAATGCATGCAAAATTAATACCACGTGCAGCTGGTATCTTATTTTCTCTAGTACATTGACGAATGCTCGCATTTCGGGCGAAGATATGAGCAAATTCAGAAAGACTCGTAGAATGCCAAAACAGTGTTTTTCATTAGTCCGAATGCTACGTACACTGTTTACGACGCACATCAACAGTTGGGACAGTCCACTGTCACGACCGAAGACAGCTCAATCAGAATCATTCAACCACCGAGCACACACAAAGCCTGAAAAAGTTCTCACTGTCAAGTAGAAGGAGGCGGAGAAATGCTTCTTGGACGAAGAGACCCAATGCAGTGACGGCGGCACCGGCTGGTTAGAACTATCCTCGGAGCAGACCAGGTCCACGCAGGAACGTTAACTATGCACTCCAACACGGGAACACGAGAGCTGCACACGACACAAGGCAAAAATGGCAGGTTCACATCGGAGAAATTAGCGTCTTGCAAACTCCGACTGGCCCCAACTTGCTTGTCATACAATGTTGCCAAGCGTCTCTATTTAAAGAAATGCATGTTTTAAAAAAAATTCCAAAAATTAGAAAAGTATAAAAAAACAGAATGAACTTCTCTTGTTTTCGGAAACGTTCTTAGTATGTGCTACGTGGCTATTTTCATCCCAGTTAAAAAATCAAATGAAAATAGAAACACTCTCAAACGAATGCCAACAAGAAGGAAAGTAAATAAGCCGAATGGCCATTGCATCAACAATGGCTTCTGCGCTTGCTGCAGCGCTGGCTTCCAGGTCGTGCTGGTACGGAGGCTGCGATCGCTAAAAAGTCAGCTCCAACCCTTAAACATGCCCCCTCACCAAATATTTGACGCTACGATTGCGTGTGGATACCTCCCCTGCGATCCGAAGCAGCAAGTATGTCGCTAACGCTTCCCATCGAGTATGAAGCAAGCGCCGCCATCTTCTCCGCGCCTTTCCGGTAGTAAAAAGCTAGTAAAAGGTAGTAACGTTCAGAAAAAGGTAGGAATTGCTGAATTTGCAAAATTTTTACTACCTATCGCGCGTTTGAGGAAGTAAAATGTTAGTGAAATGTAGTAACGCTCAGAAAGAGGTAGTAACTTATGCAGTTGCTAGCTTTTTACTAGCTTTTTTTTAAGAGTGTAGAGCGCTCTAAAAGGCCAAACCATACGCTCGGTTTTGACCTCACTCGCGAACTTAGTCTCCTGCAACGCAAGAATGTCAATGTATTGTTGCTCGACGACGAGGCGATATGATTGGCTCTGCCTTTTTCAATGCGCGAGATCTTGCACATTAAGTTTTGCTACCTGCACAGGCCTTTCAAGGGATACCATATTCAAGCACGACCAGGGCAAACGTGCTGCGCTTGCCTTGGTGCTTTACAGGTTACAGAGCGGCATCCACATAGAGGTGCTCACTGGGTAGTGTGTCGTCGCGCAGATGAAGCAACGTCCAAGGCCGGCTGGTTACATGACTTGTCCCCGAGCCCACCTCCCCTTTTCCTAGAGTTTGCGCAGCCGTCCTTTTTGTGAAGCTTCCGCTGCGTCGTCGTGTAGGCGTGTCACGGAACTGGCTTAACGTCGATAGCTGTAGTAGTGAGGTCTTCGTAGGACGCCAGAATCACACTTGCCCCCTACTCCACCGCTTCCAACCTCGCAGGGCTCTACACTGCAGAACCGGGAGCCGCAGTCCACGGCGGCATCAGCGCAGGGGCGCAGGGGCCCGTCCAGGCAAACCAGGGACCGCTTCTGAGGGGAAGCTGGAGCGGCAGACGCTCGAGGCTGACGCCTTCCTGGAGTTCTAGGCGTACCAGTCGGATGATATACCCAACTCCGTCAAATCCTGGCACATTTTGATTCACCTGCGTAACCTCCTTGACCACACCGTATTCCCCCAAGACGTTTTCGATGGCGCTGTCAGTGACGTCGAACGCAACCCAGTGGAGCTTGAATCGGAACTCCTGTCGGAATGGCTTAAAGACGAGGCATGGTATAAAAACTAAATAGCGTAAAGGTTAGTCAAAGGGCAAGGAACAGGACATGTTTATATCATTTTTATATCATGCATATCTAACTAGCCCACCTCAATGTCTTAGTACGAGGCATGGTCCGCCCTTGAAAACGAGCCGCTCTGCCTCGAGCAATGTCTGCCTAGCAGAGTCAGTCTTCATGTCTAACAGCCATACACTCTCAACAAAAGGGTAGTCGTAGGGTGCTACATTTGGGGTAGTCAGAAGCCGTCAAAGATAGCGCTACCCCTCTTAGTTATACTAACGACCCCATGTGTAGTCACACGGCACGGAATCAACAGGTAGTCACAGTGACCACCCCCAGAAGCAACCTGGAGGCTGGCAAGCGACAAGGAGCAATACGAGTGAGACCTAGGGAGCTGGACTGATTTTTTCTGAAATACGATTCTCAAGTGCGTACGCCCGTTCGCTGCCTTCCGTGCGCACTAAAGCACTCCAAAACGCGCCTCGAAGCACCGGCACCGCACTTATTACGCGTAGAGGGCGACGATGTGAAGTGAGGGGGGGGGGGGGGGGGGAGCATTCGAGGGAGTTTGTCTGCGACTTGTTTCGCGCGGCCGGCTGCATTTACTTCGCGGCCAGAAAACATTCAAAGAAGGAATCGTATAACGACAAATGGAATGATGTCTTTATTGAATGGAGCATCTGCTTGAGGTGCTTGCCGCAAGTGATCCGGCGTTTTCGGTTGACAGCGGCGAGGCGAAGCATCACCGATTCAAGCGGCGTCGGTTCCGATCGTTCAACGCTCCAGCTCATCTGTAAGCATTCGTTATCCACTTTCAAGTCTCCGGTAATCCCCACCGCGTGTGTGCACGCACTATTCACCGCACGAAACACCCATTCTACTTGCAATGGGACTGCTCCCACGGGGTGCCATTCGCGTGGCTCTCCTCACATCCGTTGCCTGCCGCTCTACCTTTTCATTCTCGGCGGCCGCGTCTCGTAGAGATCTGCCAGGCTTTGTCAGTACAGAGGGGGCTATGCTATTTTATTCCGAACGCTTTTTTTTACGCGACACACACCGCGTGAACGCGACGCCGATGACCAACGATTTCGCCGAGACTTGTCGAAGATATCGCTGTGATTGTATGTGGAATAACACAGGACCGCTACATTTTTCTTCTAGTGCGTTCTGGCTAAGCGTGACCTTCGTTCTGAACCACTGGATTATCACATGGATCGCCGTTTAGGTTATTCGGAAATTGTCGTACCGGGTTTTCTAAGAAAAGCAAAAAAAAAAACAATCCCGAGCTTTGAGCAATGACGATAATAAACTTCCGCCTGGAGATCGCAAACTTCGCCTATGTATATTTAGATAAAAACGTGAAGTACAACGCATTTTCTTTTGCTGAAGGTATTTGAACCTTATTGTTTAACAGGCTCAATTGTTAACTTTATTTTTTCTGTATATACAAAGAAAGGGCATTTCGGGCCCTTCAAAATAGAAAAGGTAGATAAACAGAAAAGAACGTATGCAAAGAGTTTTTTTTTTTTTTTTTTTTGCTTGGACAATTTCTATTGCGGTTTAGCTGCTGGTCGGCAGGTTATTTTTCATTAAAAAAAAAAGAAAACGGAGTTGATTTTATCTTAGGAACCTTCAGCGTATTGCTATATAAACGTAACAATATGCCCAGACATATACCTTGTCTCCACGTATATTCGTGCGTAAGCCTCGACAGACGATGTTTGCCCTTTTCTCCTTGGTAATATCGTTCTTATGTCAAAATCATGCTATTTCATCTAAAAAAGACGACGGGGATCTTCCTGATGCAAAGCAGGTAAGAAAATGCCATATCAGAACCTATTCGTAGCGACGTGATGATCAAACATTTATTTAAGCACTTTTAACTCCCGTACTTAAAAGACTATATATAAACAGGTATGACGTTCCAAGGTTTACTTTGAAGATGAAATCTCCTCGCGTCGCAGGTTCTGACTAAATTCACCACAGCCTCATCACCCCAATGATGTGTTTAGCGCGGAGTGTGTTTTTGGGCAGGATATTACACGGAAAATGTCACGCCGGAGTGTGATAAAAAATCGTTACACAGAAGTCAAGGAAACATAAACACACGTTACGCATTGCACAGCCGTAGCTGGCAATGCGTAACGATCCAGAAAGATAGCATTTTTAGTCATGAATAATCCTCCGAACTCACGATTAGGCGAACATTTTGTGACAAACAATATCTACCAAGCTTCTCATTGGGAGCTAACCCTCCGATTTGTACTCAACAAAAGGCATCTCGAAAGGCAGCTCTCCAGCGAGGCGGAAAACAAACAAACAAGGAAGCCTTTTCTACAATTGGGAAGTACGGGGTAATCTTAGCAACGTTGAAATATGATTTCGTGATCGTATAGACGCCGCGATTTTTCAAGAATTTCAAGAAAACGCGTCAACATTCGCGTCCTTCATTCACCTCTTAATAGAGAACGCGTCAATAATACCTTGATCTTGAGCACAGATATGGAATACGCAAAATAAAAAAAAAAATATCTGGGTGATGTTCGAGGACACAAGTGGTAAGAAAGCACCACTGTAGTCGAAGTAATCAAAGAAGACGGCACGAGCGTTTCTGCTCTCTTGAGAGTGCCACCGAAATAACGCCGCACGAGTCGATGAATCTTCGCTTCTAGGATGTGCTGGGGTATCATCGCGACACGAGACGAAAATTAAGTCAAGGATAGCGCTCTACGTGAAACGATGAGCTTCCACCATTCCGACCATGTCAACGATCACCACCAACGCCATGTATTTCAGCAGAGAGCAGGAACCGCAAAACAGGGTAGGCGCAGTCTTATCTTACTCTTGCTTCGTTTGCAACACGATAGATGGCGCAGAACTCGGCGCATCATAAAACTCGGCAAATTTCGCTACATTGCTAAATATTGCACAAAGTGTGGATTAGCCATTTTTAACAATATATTTAAGAATCGTTTGCCGGATAATAATTTTTTTTATGAAAGCGGTGCTGGTGAGGTTCGCTCTTATCCAATGGGCGATGTGGATTTGATGATTTTTTCTGGCACCTCGCATACATCGCAGTGAAAGGGCAGTGAGCTGTCGAAGAAAACAAGGTATAAAAGAATCCGTCTTTTCTCTTAAAAGTTCTCGAGCGATAATTTTTTGGCGCTTTTTATTTTTGTGTTTTGGTTTTCTTTTCGCGCCTTTTACGACGTGCGGTGGATTAAATTCGATTTTAAATTGTTTCATGGTCCTTTTGGCAATTTCAACAATAGTCGCCGATGGAAGGGCTTTCGTCTCGGCGTATTATGCGAGATAAACGGTTGCCACGATTATTCAGCGGTTCCCATCGCCAACGGTAGGAAGGGGCCAAGCAAATCCATTCCTATCTGCTTGAAGGCGCAGTTGGAGGGAGGGGGGAAGGGAGGGGAGGGCTATGGGTTCAAGAAGTCCTGCTGGCTTCGTCGGTTGTTTCTTGCGCCGTTGACACTCGTGGCACGATCGCACGTAGAGATGGACGGGCTGCGAGGGGCTGGGCCAGTAGTACTTTTCGCGAGTCCTTGCAGGCATCCTGATGTATCCCAGGGGTTCAGCCGTCAGGCCGTCATGACAGGCTTGAAACACTTTCGCTGAAAAACTGGAGGGGATAACCAACACGCATGACGAGTTGTTGTTGCCAAAGTTTTCTTTGTAGAAACGTAGACTTCACCAACGTAGAAGTTTGTCAGGTCTGGTGTGAATACTTGCGGAACAGTATTTCCTTGTTCCTCCAGATACTAGATAAGTGCGCTAAGCTTAGTGTATTTTCCTTATAATGCTGTTGTGTCGCTGGCGCTCACTGCGCTAAGAACAACCGTGTCCACGCCGTCGTCGTCGATGTTCTCTATTACCAGCTCGACAGGTGCTCTCGATAAAGAGTCTGCGTCTCTGTGCTTACGGTCGGACAAGTAGACCACAGTCATATCAAATCCTTGGAGTCGGAGACTCCACCATGCGCGAAGTCCAGATGGTTACCTCAGGTTCGGGAGACAGCAGACCAAATGGTCGTCCGTAACCACAGGAAAGGGACTTCCGCACACGCTCGGACGAAACTTTGTTTCCACCCAGATGACGGCAAGGCATTCCTTCTTCGTGGAATAATTGCTTTCCACCTTTGACAGCGTCCGACTTGCGTAGGCAATTACTCGTTCAGTTCACTCCGGCCGCCGGACGAGTGCCCCACCCAGTCCTGTGTTGTGGTGTCCGTGTGAAGTTCCGTCTCCGGAGGCTGGATGAAGTGACCGTGGATAGGAAATGTCTGGAGGCGTCGCTTGAGCTTGTCAAAAGCTTGCGGTTGCTCTTTTTTCCACTCAGCCTTCACGACATCATTTGTCAGGCGTGTTAGCGGAGGCGATATTTTGGCGAAACCTCGAACGAACATCGATAATAGGAAAGAATTTTAACAGACCTCTGAACCGCTTTTTTGTTCGATGGGCGGGGAAATTCGGCTCTGGCGAATGTTTTCGCTTAAACAGGCCGCACACCTTCGCTGCTCACCACGTGAGCCAGCAACTTCATTTCAAGGTGGACAAACTGACATTTCGTTAGATTGAGGGTGCGTCCAGCCGTCATGATGATCTCCAGCACAGCACGAAGTCGTTTCAGGTGCGTTTTGAACTCTTGAGAAAATACTACAATATCGTCGAGCTAGACGAGGCAACTCTGCAATTTCACGCCAGCCGGCACCGTTTTCATGACACGCTGGAAGGTCGCTGGTGATATGCGAAATTCGAAATGCAAGACTTGAAAATCGTACAGCCTATCAAGTTTGACGAAGGCGATCTTCTCAAGGTCCCATTCATTGTCTTCGATCAGCCAGCAGTCCCTTTTCAAGTTCAGTGACGAAAAGTAGCGGGAGTGGCGTAGACGGTCAAAGAATTATCGATGCAGGGAAGAGGATATACGTCCTTCTTTGTTACAGCGTTTAGGAAGCGGTATTCTATTCCGAATCTGAAGGTTCTTTCCTTCCTCAACAAAGCGACTGGAAAGCCCACGAACTGCTTTACGGCTAGATTTTTGAACCAGGTGAACATCCGCGATAGGGCAGCACTAAGGCATAATCACCCGGATAATGAGTTTAACACGAAGTGTGCTTTTGGGCAGGATTTTATGTAAAAACGTCAATCGCGAGGGGGACAAAAAATCGTGACATACAGGTCGACCCAAGATAACGCATACACATCTGTAGCTGGCATTGCGTAGCTGTCCATAAAAGATGACATTCTTAGTCAAGAATAATCATCCTAACTCAAGATTAGGAAAAATATTGTAACAAACGAGGCCTACCAAGCTGCTGATTGGAGGTCCAACCCCCGATCTTGCATTCAACAAGAGGCATCTCAAACTACAGCTGTCTAGCGAGGAGAAAAACAAACAAACAATAAAGCAGCCAGTTGCTTACATTGAAAAGACAGTCGAGTTGTCGCTATAGCTTACCACACGAACCCCGCTGGACTGCGCCTGTCAGCCAGCCGCCGCCCGCATACATTGTCGCAAATGAAGGCAAGAAAACGACGTATCATAAACTTACAATTATGATTTAATCGGCAAATGTGTGCTAGAAACAAAATAGAAGAACAAACGTCAATAACGTAGCAACGAGCGAAGATGCATCAAGATGACAGCTGGCTATTGCGAGTGTAAATCAGTTAATAAATCGCCAATACCACGCTCGGCTTCTTATCATCATCATCATCACTCGTCATCTTGAATATTCACCCCGAATGTTCGGTAGTTCGCTAGCGCAACACTTACTTATCTTTTTCACTCGCAGTAGGCATACACAAAAAAATTCTAGATGCGCGGAGAAGCGTTTCTTATTGGGCGTACACGCGGCAATATGTGGACAGCTTTGAGCGAACACAACTGTGAATACAGTCATTTGGGCAAATATCTGGACAGGAGTGTATCAAACGTCCACACAGGCGGATTTCTCTGGACCAGACGAATTTTTTTGGTCCAGGCGAATTTTATTTGTTGCGTTCCAGTTTAATATAAATCATAATTTAAACGCTACAGTGTTTCTTTGTTGTTTTTTTTAATAATCACTGGCTCAAATTGATGTTGGCACCTTTGTTGTTTCTAATTGACGCGGTGTTGCTTCTTCATGGATAAAACATTGATGCGATGAGAAGAAAGTGTTCGAGTTCTTTTTAAATATCGTGCACTTTTATCTAAAAACCGTGGTACTATTTTATGCCCGTCACATAAAACGCGGTGGCCATTTTGTGCGGTGCTTGTAGACATGCTATAGATCTGCTTGACTTGCATTTTTACTTGCACTTGTCTCGCATGCCTGCAGACAAGAACTTCAAGTAAAAAAAGGTGTGCTACAGGGTGTTTATTGTTGCTCTGCGAGGTGCCCATAGACCGCTGAAGTTATTTCATTTTGATAGATGCTGGCTGTAAGAAAATAAAACATGTTATATATTTTCTTTTGTTCACAAAACGAGTGACAGGCCTGATAATACAATAGGCTCAAGCCTCCATATTTCATTGAAAAGCAGAATGGAAAGAGTTATAGCAAATGACGAGCGTCGATTCGGCTGAAGGAAATTGGGCACAAAAGATTTTTTTTTTTTTGAAAACACACTGCAGGATGTTTTTTTTACGGGAAACATGTCACGAAAAAGTAAAAGGAAAAACATCTACTTTCGCCGTCAATCCGATCCAGTAAAAGATTACACCTATAAAATTGAAGAATGATTTGTAAGACCACTTGACTATGAAAAAGCACGTATGTGTCAAGCCAAAATTCTTTATGAAACACTGTACCCCACTAAAAATGTGCATGCGCTCAGTGCCGTGTTTATGCGAAAAGAGGTACGTAGTCTTCAATTTATTTTTGACCTGGAAACTAACACAATATACAGACTAAATCACCACCGGCTAGCACCGCAATGCAATCTCTGTAACACCACAACCCTAAATGCTTTTTTAGCCTTTTGCACTGATCCTTCTTTCGGACTCTGTCAAAGGGAAAACAAATAAAGAAACAAAAAAAGAAAATATACAATGGGATTACAAAAGGAAAACTGGTCCTGATATTCTAAATTAGATATTTTCTTACTTTTAGTTAACCCTACATTTGACGCGTCATTGAACTTCCAGCTTTTGCTGGAACATCGTGCATGGGCGTCAGACTCGTCAGTTCTGCGAAGCTTAATAGCACATCCTCGAAGCAGTCCACGTTCACGCACACACTCGCCCAGTCGGGCGAACCAACGCAGGAACACTATAACAGCACACAACACGAGTCAACAACGCCAAGTTCAGATCGCAGAATTTAGTAGCTCACACAAACCGGCTGGCCCCGACATCCAGGTGTCCAAATGGTGCGATCGAGCGAGGTCTCCTGGGAAGGCCACCGTCATTGGTTTGCCCTCGTTGGCGACGTGAGTAGAGCATGTTTCACTAAGTTGTGATCCAAGCCAACGCTCTCCTGGAGCCTGTGCTACGTACCATAGCGCATGACATTGTAGTATAGAGCCCTCAGCGCAGTCAGCGTCGGCCAAGGCGATCGGGCGCTTGCGCTTATCGATGTTACCTTTGAACATAAATACTCCTTTAGCAAGGCAGAGTTACAAAACGGAAAAAATAAGCACCTGCCAGAGTTGTGGGCTATTAAAGCTCCTTCGCAAATACATTTTTGGTCGCGATTTCACTATCTGCTTAAATCATCTTCCGCTCTTGCGGAAGATGATTCAAGCAGATGAAAACGATGAGGAACCTGCACCGTGTTTTGCTAGATGTCATGAGCTTCAGATCGAATACGACTGCATTGCTTGGGTAATCGTAAGGCTGTGTCGACTTATAATAATAATGATGTTTATTTTCCGTCAAAACACGAATGACGGAGGAAGCCCGATGAAAAACGCTACATCACGCAGCTTGATGGGCCCTCGGCCGCACCTCCTTGCATATGGCAGCAGTCGCACAACAAGTGATGCAAAAAGAAAAGCGACAGAGAAGCTAACAATTTCAGTGATGACAACATGACAATGTTACAAAAAAATGTAAGACTATATAAGAGTCTAACAAAAACAAAGTACATAAGTACAAGCGAGCACAGTATTATTCGATTTAGCAAAAATTAAGGTTCTGAGTACCGTCGTATGTTGCTACTACTCCATGGCGGGCATCCAGGAGCAGCTCGTGTGAAAATGCTTTCGCGCAGTTGTGGGGTGGCTAAAGGAAACTCATGGCATCGAAAGGCCTCAAATAAGCCTTCAACTCTCGACTAACTCAAAACGCTGCGCCGCGCATTTGTATAAAGTATTGGGAGTGGCCAACGTGACGCCGGTTGATAATTCATCTGGATTTCGGTTACAGTAATCCTCATGGCATGGCTTGCTCGTTCTTGAATATTACAAATGGTTTGAGGTCGTGTACAGGTCAGTCCCGACTGCTGCGATAACCATCGAGAAACTACAAATAGTCCCTGCATGTTTCAGAATACCGGGACGGAAGTCGTAGTTATGAATAATGGCCCGCAGTTCCTTTCGACATAATTTAGGGCGTTCCTATCAGCCAATGAAGCACACAAAAGAGGACATTCTTACCACGCCGCGTCCAACCTGCGTCAGTCTAGTTGAAAAGGTAAAAAGAAAAAGAGTGGACAAACAACTGGAGAAACAACTCAAGGACGAAGGGAAATTGCGTGTCCGCAAGACAATTTAATATTGGACCGATCAGTTTCCTTTCCACAACACGAAAACGTCATGTAAATAAAACGGCATGAGACCGGCAGAAATGTTTCGCTCATCGACGCCACGGACGAGACTAAGTCTGCTGCATTTCAAACTAATCAACCCTCTGAGAAATGGGAAGCTTCAGACATACTAAGTTTTGCTTTTCACAATCGGGAGTTCCATGTAGGTGAAACAATTCCAATCGAGGAAACTAGACCAAGTTACCCTGCGTGTAAAGTTGGCATCGCCTTGACAAGTGTTAGTGCGGTAAGTTGCGTCATAAGCGCGAACAATCAAGAGCACTTTGTGCATGCCAGCCAACTCTTAGAGACAACTTTGCCTTTCTCGGGGCAAGCAGTGATCCGTCGTCCGCTACGCAACCCGCCCAGACGCCTGCCGACTCATGCCTGAGGCTTCGCGGAGCGCAACATTGCTTCGTCTGCACCGCACTGCAACATGCGTTCATATACAGTAACATGAAACAAAGGAAGTGAACACGGGGAAACGGCGCCAAAAACAGGAGTTTCACAAAGAGGTCGGCCAGAAGCTGCCTCGGCTGTTTTTGAAGCGTTTTACCTGTTCCGATACCTTCCGTCGTCCATCTGCTACAAGAGCCAGCACGCTAAAATGAAAATTAAGAAAAAAAAAAAAAAAAAGAGTGCGGGAAGTGATGTATTTTGTCATGGTGCCGTCTTAAGCTTTTTATTTTATTTTTTTTTTCGGTATACCTCAGCGCGTAACCAATGCTATCTTCTGTGCTGGCTGAATACAGAATATTGTTTTCCGTTTCACTTTCGTGCGTAGTTTGTGACAGAAATAGTAATTTCATTCAGGTACCAATTAACATTACGCCTATATTATTCCCGTTATTTGGTTTTAATTGTTTCATGCTGGTGAAAACCACCCTGTTTTCCTGCGCCTTGCTTCGAGACTTATTGGCCTATTTTATTTGACAGTGTTTCACCGGTTTTCATATTTAACTCAAAACGCCAATTTTTGTTATGCAAAATAAAGTTCGAATCACAACTCTTAAATTTAACAGAAATATACGACAAAGATAAAATCCCCTATTTAAGTAACAAACATAAATAAATGGTGCGGTACAACTTCTTGTTTAAGTTTTCTTTTCGCTACCTATTCTATGATAAAGTTAGTTCATCCTTCTGTTTTTCTTTGCGCTTGAAATGAATTGATTACACATTCAGTTAAAATATTTGAATGCATTTGCAGGTTATCCAGAAGCTACCTCAAACATTCATGCGTCAGTCACTTGGAGATTATCCGAAATTAATATGTGGTTATCAGCGTTTCTACAATGAGACCGACAGAAAATATGATTTAATATTTAAGTACCCGAATGAGCTGTGAGTACTAAAAGTAGTCATAATATATAAACAAATAAATCACAGCACGATCGAAGTTTTAACGTGTTTACTTTGCAGGATTAGCCTACCTCTCTATGTGAAAAATGTGACTGAAAACAAAATTTATATGGGCACTACACCAGGTGAGCTAACGTCTTTCCTACCAAGCATACACTTTCCAATCCCGAACGCCGTGAAAAAACGAATAGCCTCCGTTATATGAACACGATAGCCAGCCTCAGTTAAGTGGCAGAGACGCTTGCGTTGGTGTCGTGACCAGAAAATAGTGATTGGTCGAATAAGTCATGACGTCACAGTCACATGACCTCACGTAGGAATTTCAAACAAGCCCCAACGCTCATGCGAAACGTGACGTCACACGTGGAAAAAACGTGAACAATAAACTTGAGATGTAATGCGAATTAAAGGTAGCCGCAAGTCCTAAATGTTTCACCTTATGAAGTAATTCGTTTGCCTTAGAAAAAAATTGAAGAATTTTTGCGGGATTTGAACCCACGACCCTTCGGATGCGAGCCACACATGCTACTATCCAGGCGACACAAGGCACGCTTGCACCGGGGTCGCAAAGGCCATGCGAACGGGGCCCGATAACGCTATCGCGTTCTACTCTTAAAGGCGAATCTTAAAAATCCCCAAATTGTTATTTTTTTTTTTTTTTTTTTTTTTACAACGGGATAGGTTTTGCCTATAACTCCACCTCTGACCGTTTATTTTTTGAGTATGTAGGCCATTCAGTAGTATTCTTTTAGCTTTGTACACGCCAAATTAGAGTGAACCCTTGATATTCTGGAATAATTTTTCGATCTGGAATTTGCTTCATTAATCTTTGAGTAGCGTTGGTCTGTCTTTTAGTTTTTGTTGTTTTACTTGACAAAGTGTTGGTCCGTCTCTTACCACTGTCCTGGTCTGTTATAGGAAGTGGGATGTAGTGATACCCTGCACGTTATAAGAATATAATCCAGTAAGATACCTGCCGGCTTCCCCCTTACCTCGCTGGGTTAATAGTTGTGCCACCAAATTCAATTGTAATACTGTATGCTTTATCAGGTTTCGTACAAACCACGAAAGTAGACGTGCCTTTCAAGATAAAGCTTGCAGACAGCCGGCATGCTTCAAATGCAGCAGTAATTACTAAAGCAAAGACATCAAATTTTCCTCGCTACTCAGGTTGTTCGGAATAACTTTGTTTTTTCCTAAGAGGCTTTATCTTTGTCTCATTTTTGTCTGTAACAATATATCATACACTTTCCCACAGAACCACTTATTGAACCAGAATACGAACTCGATATATTGTTTTCCAACATGAAATCGTGTATGGTAACAAGGAACCCGGACGCAGATTCTCCAAGAGGTGGGTGTCAAAAACTGACTTGCGCACAAGTGGCTTAGTTGGCGGCTAAACCATTTACGTCGTCTAAGTGTTTGGAGTTTACTGTGTATTGCCTCAGGCAACTGAATAGCGCGCACAAAAATATGATCTTCAAGCAGGTTATTAAATAAGTTTTTTTTTTAAGATAGGACATTCGTTTTTATTTTTACGATTAAGCAGAAACTGAAAAAATAGGTACGATTATTTGACTGTCTGATTGCGTCCACCCCTAGAACTATAAAAAACACAGCATCTGGCATTCACAACGAGGGAGAGACGCAGTCACGAGATCCATCCTCCGTGCGTAATCCTGTAACTTGAACAAAAGTTAGCGTTTTCTGACATAACCTGGGAGAAGGAAGGAAAAAAATGAAAGCCGCTTACAACTCCCTGTAACGCCGAATTAGAGCGCAGCTCTTGAGGAGGAGGAGGGAAGGGCACTGGGGGGGGGGGGGGGTTCAACTAACCAGGGGGTCACGTGACCTTGGGGGTCACGTGACCCCCAAATACCGATGATGTCATCACTGACGTCACTGATGACGTCATCAGTGACGATGACGATGCGGATACCGATGACGTCATTAGTGACGTCACTGATGACCTCACCAGTGATGATGACGATGACGATGCAAATGTAGGCTACGTCATCAGTGACGTCACTGATGACGTAATCAGTGATGATGACGATGACGATGCGGATGCCGGTGACGACATCAGTGACGTCACTGATGACGTCATCAGTGATGATGTAGATGACGATGCGGATGTCGGTGACGTCATCAGTGATGATTACGATGACGATGCGGATGCCGGTGACGTCATCAGTGATGATGACGATGACGATGTGGATGCCGGTGACGACATCAGTGATGATGACAATGACGATGCGGATGCCAGTGACGTCATCAGTGATGATGACGATGACGATGCGGATGCCGGTGACGTCATCAGTGATGATGACGATGACGATGTGGATGCCGGTGACGTCATCAGTGACGATGACGATGACGATGTGGATGCCGGTGACATCAGTGATGATGACGATGACGATGTGGATGCCGGTGACGTCATCAGTGATGATGACGATGACGATGCGGATGCCGGTGACGTCATCAGTGATGATGACGATGACGATGTGGATGCCGGTGACGTCATCAGTGATGATGACGATGACGATGCGGATGCCGGTGACGTCATCAGTGATGATGACGATGACGATGTGGATGCCGGTGACGTCATCAGTGACGATGACGTCATCGGGGGGTCACGCGACATGGGCGGGGGTCACGTGACCTCGAGGAGGGGGTCACGTGACCTCGGGGGGTCACGTGACCCCCCACGAGGTCACGTGATTCTGGTGGGGGACTCGCGCAGTGCATTATGGGACATTTCCCATGATGCACCGCGCGGTTACGCCGACGGCGACGGCGACGGCGACGGCGCTCAAGCCGGAAACGGGCCCCTAAGAGCTGCGCTCTAAAAGTGAAAGCCGCTTACAACCCCATGTAACGCCAATTAGAGCGCAGCTCTTGAGGAGGAGGAGGGAAGGGTACTGGGGGGGGGGGGGGAGTTCAACTAACCAGGGGGGGTCACGTGACCTTGGAGGTCGCGTGACCTCCCCAATGCCGAAGATGTCATCACTGACGTCACTGATGACGCCATCAGTGACGATGACGATGCGGATACCCATGACGTCATTAGTGACGTCACTGAGGACTTCACCAGTGATGATGACGATGACGATGCGAATGTCGGTGACGTCATCAGTGACGTCACTGATGACGTCATCAGTGATGATGACGATGACGATGCGGATGCCGATAACTTCATCAGCGACGTCACTGATGACGTCATCAGTGATGATGACGATGACGATGCGGATGCCAGTGACGACATCAGTGACGTCACTGATAACGTCATCAGTGATGATGACGATGACGATGCGGATGTCGGTAACGTCATCTGTGATGATGACGATGACGATGCGGATGCCGGTGACGTCATCAGTGGCGTCACTAATGACGTCATCAGTGATGATGACGTCATCAGTGATGATGACGATGACGATGTGGATGCCGGTGACGTCATCAGTGACGATGAGGAGGGTCACGTGACCCCTGCCGATGTCGCGTGACCCCCGATGACGTCATCGTCACTGATGACGTCACCGGCATACACATCGTCATCGTCATCATCACTGATGACGTCACCGGCATCCACATCGTAATCGTCACGATCACTGATGACGTCACTGATGACGTCACTGGCATCCACATCTTCATCGTCATCATCACTGATGACGTCACCGGCATCCGCATCGTCATTGTCATCATCACTGATGATGACGATGACGATGCGTGACCCCCCTGAGGTCACGTGACCTCGGGGGTCACGTGACCCTTCTCGAGGTCACGTGACCTCAGGGGAGTCACGTGACCCCGGTGGGGGGCTCGCGCGGTGCATTATGGGACATTTCCCATAATGCACCGCGCAGTTACGCCGACGGCGACGGCGACGCCGCTCAAGCCGGAAACGGGCCCCTAAGAGCTGCGCTCTAAAAAAGGAAAGATAACATGTGGCATCAGCCGCGCCTACACACAGTCACAAGAACTTCCCACGTTTTTTTTAATTAAATCAGGTGCGTCACCTACAAGGGCAACAAAGGAGCGCCCACACACGCGTACGCTCCATGAGCCGCCATGAAATATACTTCGTGGATCTCTCGAAGGTTTTTTATTTGTGTCGAGACACAATCTAAATGCGATGGAATGACGACGACCGGCCACACCTACTACAATTAAAGTCCCTTAATGCTTCTATTTACAATTAATGACAGCAAACACTAGTGACGAAGCACATCCCGTAGGCACGAAATTGCGTCATTTAGTTCACTCTTCTGCTTAGCACTCCATTCGTTTCCTAAAATCTGCACCATGACGCAGTCGTCGCTTGAAAGAATGTCTCGTTTTGTAGAAACCCCTTATCTAGGACCTCTAACTAGAATGGACCGCTAGGTTGCTCGAGGGCAAATAACACAGGGAAAAGAATGTTCCCTCTCCCTTATATTTACACATCTTCCCGTGTGACCAATATACATCCTGCCGAAGCACAAGGGGGTCGTACACAGTTCTCCTTGCACATTCAACGACCCATTGAACAGCAGGCTGTCCCGCTCTAGTCACAGAGGAACAAAGGCGGGACAGCTTAGATAGCGCCGAGAAAGCCACAGGCACATCAAACCTGTTGGCCACGTGCTTTATTCAGTGGGACAAGGAATGGACATACGAGAGTACAACAGAAGGATGGCTCACTGCGTGATGTCACTCTATCTGAAAAATAAGTTTTTTTTTCATACGCTTTGATCCGGTAAAGCCATTGCCCCGCGCCCTAGAGTTTTTGTGCCACCAGATCGTGCCTGTTGGTTATAGTCATATTCTTTCTTCTTCTCTTCTGGCTAAAATGTTGAGTTGTAAGTTTAGTGTCTATCCTGTGTCGTGTATTCTTCTAAAGTTTCCTGAGGTTTCTCGCTTATTTAAACCATGTATAATAATGCTTCCCAACTAGCCCAGCTCCCCACCCTTCTACAACTGGTCTGGTGGTTGGCCCTTGTTTTTCTCTAGGTCTCGAATACCAGTTAAAAACAATCTCACAAGGGACTCACCAACGCCCGCAACAACCGCTGAAGGGAAGCTCGCAGAGGAAAGCCTTTTAACTTGAGTCACAATATTTAAAGCACACCTCTGGTGACACGACTTCAACAGGGACGCCCGAAGGCATGTCCCGGTGATTACCCTTTTCGGCAATTTTATTTTTCTACCTTTTTCTGAGGTGATTAGTTTTATTTGTTTTAAGCAATGAAAATTGCCATGCCGAATTCTGATTTCGGGTGTCTCTGTTGAAGTCGTGTCACCATAGGTGCGGTTAAGTTTTGCGACTCAGGTTAAATGCTTGCCTCTGCGGGCTTTGACTCGGCGGTTGTTGTGGGCGTTGCTAAGTCCATTGTGAGAATGAATATGGGGTATACTAGACCTAGAGAAATACAAAGGCCAAACACCAGACCTGTGGTACTCCGGTACGTCCATGCCTTGTCCCACCGAACCGAGCACGTTGGCAATAGGTTTAATGTGCCTTTCGCCTTCTCGGCACCATCTAAGCTGTCCCGCCTTTGTTCCTCCGTGAGCAGAGCGGGACGCCCTGCCGTTCAGTGTGACATCAAGAATCTCACCCCATATAATGCGTGAGCAAGCAGGAATGTGTGCAAAATTCCGCAGTCCAGCGGCTGGGTGTATATTTTTCAGACGGGAAAATGTGTAAATATAATGGCAAAGAAACATTATCTTTCTCGGCGCTCTTCGCCCTCGGGGAGCTACCTGTCCGTTTTAGTGTAGGTGTGGCTGCGCGCCGCTATTCTATCAGATTAAGATTTTGCCTCGACACAAAAACAAGACAGCTAGAGTCATAGAATCATAATTTACGGCGAATCATGCCGCAAACTCATTTGTGATCGCTCCTTCTTCTGCCCTTTTAGGTGGCGAGGTAAATTTCATTAAACAGTGCGGCGGGTTCGTGCGACTGTATGTAGGTGTGGCTGATGCCAGATGGTATCGGTATGATTTTTACAGTGCAGCTCTTAGGCGCCCGCTTCCGGCTTGAGTGGCGTCGCCGTGGCCGTCGGCGTAACCACGCGTTGCATTATGGGACATTTACCATAAAACGTCACATGTGACGTGCCATGTGACGTTCAACTCATGACGTCACACGGTGCCTAAATTTAGCGGAAAAGTTCGCTCTAAGTTTAGCGGAACAAGCTCAGCACTAACTTTAGCAGAAAAACTTTGCGGCTACATTTAGTGAATAAATTTCCCCGTTAAATATAGCGCAAATTTTTCACCGTATAATTTAGTGGAAGATTTCTCCGATCCATTCAGGTGAAAAATTTCCCCCCTCATTTTAGCGGGAATATTTCCCTACTAAATTTACCG